AGGCATGTGTACTTTTCTGTTTCGACCTCACTGTGGAGAAGCTGGGTCTATCACACACCTTGTATCAGCCTTTCTGACAGCAGACAACATTTCTCATGGATTGCTCTTGAAGAAGGTATTGCTTGGTTGCTCACCTAAACCAATCACTATCTGCTTTGACATCAGTCATGGTTCAAATAGCAGTCACCAAATTGACTGTATCTGAGCAGCCCAAAATTAATTTTCTTAGCAAGGCACAGGTAACTCTTCAGTTTTATCAGAAATAAATAAGCTCAGCTGGACTTCCTATTTCTTATTTAAGCTACAAAAATACATTCACTTTTCCTAAGTGAGTATTTTAAGGCTATATCTTTATAGGAAAGATAGCTGTTTGGATATGTCAAGGACTTGGCAGCACCTGTTTTTGGTTACTCCAAGCAGAGCTAAAATTACATGGAAAAAATCGCTTAGACTTGCGAATACTCTCTGGCTTAGGTCCCATAAGAATTCAAGGAAAGCTCTAGTTTCTTCTGTACTTGGACAAAGGTCATTTTCCCTGACTGGCATCCCTGTACTTCAAGGTTCATTCAAAAGTTCATTAAGGCTTTTATTATTTATATCTAGAGTAACTGGGATCACTTGATCAAGAAATTTAACACAGCAATATTTTATATACAACTTGATTGTTACGACAGGGCAAACGTTATCATTCCCAGTATATCAGTTAACAAAAACCATCACACAACGGATCCCCAGGCCACCGTTTTGTAATTAAAGTAATTGGTCAGTGGGTGGCAGACTTGCACTGAGTTTATTGTAATTTTTTTGAAAGAGTTCTCTTCTAAGTTGGATTTTGTGGTTAATGCTGGAAAATTCTCTCTGTGTTTTTCAACATATTCAAGAACAAAGAAAAATTTGGCCTAAAATAATGTCTGATCTTATGCTCAGAACAGGAATTCCTAAAATTAGACTCAGACAGAATAAGGCTGTACATGACCAAAGCATTCTTTTCTTCACACTCTCCTGTCTGGCACAGCAGACAATAATAATAAAGACACTTGTTAGGTGCACAGGTTGGCTAAGCCAGAAATAGTAATAAAGATGAGGTGAACACAGATTATTTATATTATGTGCAACAGCAACGCATGACTTTTAATAAATTAAAACTTCTTCTGCTCCTAAAATTTACCTCTTGGACTGCAGTTTTGAAAATAACACATTGCTTAGAAGTTCCTTCACATCTGTTACCTGTGACCTTCAGGTTTTGGGGGAAGGTATGCAGTTAGTATCAAATGCAGTGCCCTTAATAATCATAGATATTTACTAATCTACAGTAATGTTAGTCACCATATTTTTATAAAGATGACATATATGTTGAAGAATGCAAATGATTTTTATAAAGATAAGTAACATTTAAAATTTAGACTTCTAAATATTTTCTAAAGAAGTCAGAGTTTAGTGTCAACCTCAGGGTTTTTTTTGTCTTAGTCCCCCCTCTGTAGTGCTGTTTCCTTTTTATCCAAGCAAAATCCTTTTTTTTTTCATTATTCCATTGTACCATTAAATGCTGATTGTGTTTTGTTTTGCAGAGTCCTGTCCTCCAGTATCTCTATTATCTTGCACAAATACCCATTGCTATGTCTCCACTTAGTAACAACAGCCTGTTCCTGGAGTACTCAAAAAATCCACTACGGGAATTTCTACACAAGGGACTTCATGTCTCCCTCTCCACAGATGACCCTATGCAGTTTCATTATACCAAGGTAAGAACTGCAAAAAGCACCTGTCTTTGAATCTGGCAACAGTACCACATGGGCCCAGAATGACCTGAGAGCTATTTTATGTCATCGCTTAGGATATAAAGTTTCATGTCTTTCCGTCACTTCATTCATTATTCTTCCTCATTCTCAGTCTGCTACTCACTGTTAGGTTTCAGGGGGAAATGTCTAATTTCCTAATTATGTTTCTTTTGTACTCTTGCCTCTCCAGTGTTGGCTGTTGAAGTATAGAATGAAGGATGAGGCTGAAGGGAGGTTTGAGCCTTCATAAACAATCCTCTAGAGTGCCAGGAAAGTCCAGTTTCCTTACTAATAAATCTGGGGGAGTACATTACAAAAACACCACGTGGAATCTGACGATGACGTATAAGCTGTTTGCTCAGTGAACTGAAACAATTCTATCCCTTGGGTGGCCTGGCAGGACGGAAATGCCCGGTCGCTGGTTCTGATGCCCCAGTTTTGTTGTTGGCACTGACCTGAGTCATGCTGTGCCTTAGAGTGACCTGTACGTTGCTCAACTGTCTGTGTTCTGAGGACAAGCTGAGCTCTGGTGTGCTCCACCCAGGCTTGCTTCTGGCCTGTGACATGCCTCTGCTAGAAAAGACAGAGAGCTTCTAGGGGGGCTTTCTGCATGGATGTAACGCGGCACCAGCCAGGTTACACATAGTGTGGAAGATCCTCAGCTGTGACAGCTCACTAGAGTCAGACCCAGCCTCCTCGTGCGCAAGGTCAGAAGTGAGAAATTGCCCTGCTATCTGCCTGTGCACATACTCACTAAGACTAGATCCTCCAAGGTGTTTATAGACCCTGGGATCTCACTGGAAATTGGCTAATAAATGCCTCTAAGGACCTGGACTGCAGGCTGCAATTTCTTAGACTAAGATAACTGGATACCCAGTGTCTATTAATTATTTAACAGCTGCCCTTGGGAAATTTGAAATAAACAATTCTGTTCATTGGTAATTGTGATGTTAAAGTCTTAAACCTCTAATTTTTCACAGCTATCTAAAGAGCATGTATCATTTCCTTAATTAGTAATGAGTACATATCCTCATTCACATCTTATTTACATGTAATTTAATGTCAAACGTATTTTGGTGATACAGGAAGCTCTCATGGAAGAATATGCTATTGCAGCCCAGGTGTGGAAACTAAGTACCTGTGACTTGTGTGAAATAGCAAGAAACAGCGTACTACAGAGCGGATTGTCAGATAAGGTAATCACGGGAGAAAAAAATATCTTTTGTGAATATTAGAGCAAGTAGGAACTGAGGAGTCAATAGTCTGAAAATTGAATAGTAGGTGCTCTTGCGGCCCAGAAGGCCAACCGC